ATAACTGTTATTTATTATAACTGTTGTTATTTATTATAACTGTTGTTGTTTATTATAACTCTTGTTATTTATTATAACTGTTGTTATTTATTATAACTGTTGTTATTTATTATAACTGTTGTTATATTTATTATAACTGTTATTTATTATAACTGTTGTTATTTATTATAACTGTTATAAGGAAGGAACAAAGAAATGGAGGAATGAAGGAAAGAAGGAGCTCAGTTTATGGACAGTAAACGTAACCTGGTAATCTGAGTTGAACCGGCCCGGTCTAGATCTGGGCCGGCAGCGCTGAGTTGTGGATGGAACAGTCTGAACCTGGACCTACCAGGACTGGGCGCTCGCTCCGGTAGATGTGAGGACAAACGGGGACGGTCCAGTCCAGTTCTGGTCCCAGCGTGCAGCTTGAGTTCTGAGAGGAGGCAGGAGACAGGTTTGATGTTTGGGTCCAGAACAGAGACATCAGTGTTCTGGTTCCTGTTACTTGGAGGAGGGTTCTCTGAAGGTTCGACGTAGTCGTCGTCAGCCGCCCCGTCTGGGTCCACGTAGTCCTACAAACACAAGAACGCCGTCAGCCTCGGCGGAAACCATCGAAGGACCTGCAGCAAACTAAAACCAGGACTTTACTTCATCCAACTCCACACAGGGGGGCTCAGGGGGGAGTTGTTTGGAGGCTTTGCATGAGATGGGGGGCTTCTTGGGTGGTCTGCTGGGGCGTTCACGGCAGCTGTCTGAGAAGAAGGAACAGAAAGTGACCTGCAGGATTTGCATGAAGCTCTGAAGCTTCTGAGCAGCATCAGGATGTTCTGAAGCTTTTGTTGGTGCTTGGACTTTTCCAGCCTCAGCTCCACCTCTGCAAAGATCTGCAAAGATCTGTTACTGAAGATTCAAAACTACCGAGGGAACCAAAACATCTGGCACGTCTGGAGGGATGCAGGTCGCCCCCACCTGTCATTCTAACAGGAAATGGAGAAAAGAGGTTTCAGTTCAGGCTGAAAAAGAATCTGACGTTAGATCAGTCGGAGCTCAGAGACCGTGTTGAGGATCACTCTCAGCTACTCTTATTCTTCTTTCAGCCGTTTCCTCTTCAGTGGTCTCAACAGAAAGTCCTCTGTCACTCCGTCCTCTGTGTCCTCACTCTGTCCTCTGTCCTCACTCCAACCACCTCCATGTCCTCTCTAACTGCAACCATAGATGTCCTCTTTGTCTTTTTCCTGCAGCTGCATTGAAAACATCCTCCTACCACTGTCCCTCCTCTGGATATGTCCAAACCACTGTCCCTCCTCTGGATATGTCCAAACCACTGTCCCTCCTCTGGACATGTCCAAACCACTGTCCCTCCTCTGGACATGTCCAAACCACTGTCCCTCCTCTGGACATGTCCAAACCACTGTCCCTCCTCTGGATATGTCCAAACCACTGTCCCTCCTCTGGACATGTCCAAACCACTGTCCC